CCTGGCATAGTCGACTAAATTATTTATGAAAGGATGAAATTGCATGCACAAAATTTCAATCTAAAACAAAATATGAAATAAAACTGTTGTTTTAAAGCATTTATTAACGAGATATTTCGGAGATATTTCGCGAGATTAACGGAATATTTCGTAAATTAAGAATATTTATGCGAGTATTACTGTAAAAGCATTTACGAAGCAATAAAACGCGCGGAATGTAACGCACACGTCCGACAGAAACATTTCGCTATGAGAATAAATAATCTTTTCTCTCTGAAAAAGCGCGAAAGGCCGACGCATTTATCATTTGCGATAACTTATGTTCGTATTAGAAAAAAAATGAATATGGAAAGATCGGGCACAAAGTCGAAGGAAAATTACTCGAAACGGCGGAATTCAAGTAAAAGTTTCGATAAAGTATAAGTATACGAGTGACGAGACCGCGAGAAGTAAAGTTCGAAGTCGAAAATTGAAACAATAGGCTGTTAGAAATGTTCACTCTCGTTTTCATTGCATTCTTGAGCGTGTCGCGGATTCAAATTACCGTTAGATAATACGCGTGAGTACTGACCTTGGTTACAGTCTGATGAGTGCCCGGTAGTTTTGCAGCAAGTAAGACGAGATTCGCGCAAAAAGCATTAATTGGAATGTACAATTAAATGATATTACCGTGTCGTGCTTGTTACCTCCATTAATCGACCGGGTTCATTATCCTCTTCTGTCCCTTTCGCTCTCTCTTTTTATATACATATATATAGACATATATATCTGAGAGTTTTATCGCCGCATCACATCCTCCGCGCCCACGTCTTGCCCCTGAAAGTAACATCGTAAATGAACGTGAGAGATAAACGTGATATCGTGTTGAATTTTAAATAATTTGAAATTATTCTTGAATGTCATAGTTGTGCCTTAAATGTTCGCAATCGGGTAGTACAGCAGAAAAATTTGCAATCTTCGCTTTCTAACGTTTGCGGTTTAGAGAGGTTTAACGAAACCTTCGAGCGCGTTAGATAAACGCGTTAATTAAACAAGACTTAGAAATATTTTCTATCTGCAATCTTCGAGCATGAGACATCCTCCAGTATTACCAGCCTTGAGAGTCGTAATTCCATACGCATGGTGTGTGTATATATATGTGTGTGCATCTTCAACAGCCTGTTCGCACACCTGAACGGAGGCACAATTAGCACTATATGTAAATAAGCTTTTGCGACGAGTGAATCCTTACGTAAGCCTGGTCTTCGTTTGACTATGCTGGCCTTCGACAGCAGCCGTCTTCGTATTCGAAGAGGCGCATTTGATTTGTCATTCCTATCTGTTTGCTGAGATGAAACGAAATCATTAATATAAATAGCTCATTGACTTCGGGCTTGACTTCGATTGTAATCGATTAGTAATCGTTTTACGGACGAACATAAAATAACTTATCTCTTTCTCAAGAAATATATTGAAGATATATTATCTTTATTCTTTCATAATTTATTACAATAAATTGTTTTAACTTTATATAAGCACATATTTGCAGTTCATCTATAGCAATGTTTATTGTACTCTAATATTTTAGTGCAGTCTAATTCATCTGAAATAATATCAAACTAATTATCGTTTTGTCGACCGCGTTGTTAACTACTTTAAACAGATCCATGTTACATATACCTACAATAATTAACATCTCTGATATTCACTTTACGTAATAACATTACGTGTAATTGATTTAATCTCGCTTTTCCTTTGAATTTGAATGCGAATTGCTTAATTAGTGCACCACTTAAATAACTAATTTTTTGATTAACGATTTATCAAAACGATTTTTTAATCAACGATATTTCTTTATTTTCTTAGATAGAAATTATGTACGTATTACAATATATAATAAATAAGAGAATAATGGAGAAAATCATACTTTTTCAGGCTCGAATAAACAGTAAAAATATACGAGAGGGCGGTGAGAATAATCTGTTGGAGATAAAGTTACGGTGAAAGAAGTAATTCGATTATCCCTTCCCGCGTCGACGGGCAGAAGGGTTAACGGAGAATTCCTCGTCAGCCTGTTACTTCGGCGTGTCGCGTAATAACAGGTATTCTTTCTCACACGATCATTCATCGCCGCGAGAGCTGGCGGAGAGCGCGTTGCGAGTCCTCTTCTGAACAGTCAGTCCATGTCCGACCGTCGTGTCGCGTGGATCGCACCACGTCCGACGTACAGCCCGTGGTTTATTTATAAACCGCGTATCCGGGAACGTGCGCACCGTGCATACGGACAACGCCGGATTTTCCTGCCAGTCGCTTTTCTGTAGCGTTGCGTGTCGCTCCGCGACGTGAGACCGGGATAATCGTGCTGCCAGTGCCAGTGAGATCGGGAAAAATAAAACATTCCGTTCGACGTCCAACCATGCGTTGTCAAGGTAGGAGGAAGTCTGCGTCGCTGATCCGGAATCCGTGCAGCGCGTGCGCTTATTCAGCGCGAAACTCGCGATCGAGACTTGCCGGGCCAATCTACGTGAAATATCTGAGAGACCGCATTCATTTCGATCCCGAGGAACCATCCGTTTTCGCGTGCGCGCTTCCGATTCTAATCCCGACGCGATATTCACCTGATCAGTTCGGGCGGAAATGACGCGGCTCGGATCCCGCATCCGTTTCGGAGAGCTGAGAGATATCGGTTCTTCCGCGTTTATCCCCCCGCGACGTCTCGACGAGGGAGCTCCCGACTCTGAACTTCAGAACTATCGATCGGTTAATTGATCCGAAATAGATCCGCGCCGCTCGGGACTCAATCGATAATTTATTCAAGACCCAGTCCCGAAGCACCGAGAGAAGTTCGAGTCGCCCGACGCTCGATACGGACGGAAAATTACGAGCGTTAACACTCGGCACGATCGGATAGTTGAGAAGGTGCAGTGCGCTACGCGCAGCTCGTTAGCGCGTGCCGAGTGGTTTCGAGAGGGTCGTCCGTCCGGTGCTAAGTGCAGCGTTGCTGAAGAACGCTCCCGCAAGGCCATTGCGAGGTAGCGCACACTCGCTTATCAGGCCGCTCCTTGAATAACGATGGAAAACTCGCTATACGCGTCTGATCGTCTCGCTCTTGATCGTTCGTGTGCCCATGTGTCGATGTGATAGTTCAGACGTCTCTTGAACTATCATCATCAAATCATCACCCGACACGCTTGATTCCCCAAGATCATACACACACACACATCTCTACTTACATTAACTTATAGATAAAAATACTCGCGGAGTGGTGTAACGCGAACGTTAGATCGGCTGACCTTAAGAAACGCTAAACATGGAGTTCCCTCGCACGCATCTATCAGTGCGAGTCAGTCACGGACACGCTTCGCTGCGGGCGACATCCTGTAAACCTGTGTGCGCGTCGCTCTCGTGCGCGAAGTGTGTGGATCTCTGTTTTCGTAACGCGTTCGACGATTCTATATACGTTTGATCTTATTCGCGAGATCGCGTTAACAAAATTTTTCTCCAACCCTTGCTCGTCAAAGACTCGAACCACGTTTATAACGAAAGATTAGCAGGCAGATTTTTATATAAGTAAACTGATCTCTGATCTAAAACTAACTCTGTTTGAAGTGTCATCCAAATGTTAAAGGATCAAACGTTAGCAAGAAAACATTTAATCTAAAAATTATGAGAAATAAAGCTAAGGAAAATCCGCGATTTGAAGGGCATAACAAGACATTTTTTCTCACAGAAGATTCATTAAATAAATTATGAGATATAATCTGCAACACGTGCGCGGATGCGAGTTAATGTCATTCAGATGATTTTGTAGGTAGAAGTGTCAGCGAATACCTAACAGAGCCACATACGTATTTTCATCTCTCGCGTCTTTACGCGCACGATGAAACGCGACGAGAGAGCGTCTCCTAATTAGCGTATTTCGGGAAGCGTGAAATCTCCGAGGGTTGCCGTATACCTCACTGCCGTTCCTTTCTTTCTTTTTACGAAGTTTAACGACGGAATCTTTAAAACACAACGTAATACAGAAAAAGCTGCTGGACCGTGTTCTTCCTCGTGCGAACGTGTGTTAACGACGCGCTCCGGTGCGCGCGTACTCACGCTCGAAAGACCTCGCCCTTTTTTCTCTCTCTCTCTCCGGACAGGATCCCTTCCGTGGATACCTGCTTATGCGTACGCGTACAATCGACGCTATACTTCGAACTTAAATCTCTTGCCCCTTGTACTCACAAACGCAGGTAGAAACTCGATCTCCCCGGTCGCATCTCGCCTTATAAAAGATCGTCGTTCGAAGGAACTTCCCGCATGTTTTGTCGTAATTTTAAACGACGTTCTCCATTCAAATCTATGCTTTGAATATTAACTGTTGTCACGTGTCCAATTTAGACGGAAAATTATATTAAAATTATAATTTCCATTGTATGTGCCATTATATACCTATATATAATTATTACTTTAACTTTTACGTAATGGCTGCGCGTTGTATCAATTACGAATTTTCTTCCATGTACGTATTCTCTCGCCCACGACGCATTTTGCCATTCGAAGATTTACCTGTCAAGCGGATATTTTTAGCGCAAATTGGGTCGCACGATTTAATCGATGTCACGTTATATCCCGTACTTGGTCATTATTAACCTTGGATCGCCTCGTCCAGAAACTAATTCGATCACAGCTCGTGGAATTGCATTAGCGCGAGGGTCCGAATATACTTATCGCATGGGGGAGCGTAATCAACAACGTCCACGCACGGCAGCGTTTAACGAGTCTCTCTCTCTCTCTCTCTTTTCCCCCTCCTTTTAGCTTAGCCGGCAACGGAAAAACTATACAACGAATAATTTTATAATTTACTTTCATTATGTGCAATTATTATACTAATTCTCATTAGACTTGCGTAGCGTAACCCCGGTTTTTCTTGCCGACGCGAGACTCTCGCTCAACATTTTGAATAAGAAATTTTAGCGTTAGATAAATTAATATATAACGCGCCGCATAATTTTCTTATCCTAGACAAAATTACATTATTGTAATCGAACGAATTCTTGATATTTTCCCATAAACATGAAAATAATTAGTCTCTCCAGTTCTTCTCTTTTGATAAGATATAATTCTGTCGTATTATCAGCGAGTTATCCGAGTGATATAATTTGGTAACGATGGTCAGCTATCAGCTTGTCACGATCCGATTGGGAATAGACGTTGAAATTTGTCGGCCTCTTTACGCTCCACATATTTCAAAGCCCTTTCCTCCGTCACCCTACTTGCCGCTCTCATCCATTTTCCCGTCTCTCGTTGTCGACGTTGTTCTGCGCCGTACTGTGTGAAGAAAAATATGAAGCACTTAACGGGGGGAAGTGGAAGAGGGTGGGGATATTAAAATATGCTGCGTAGAACTTGCTCCCCCTGCTAAACTTACCTATATAATGATCCAAATGAATAAATTAACATTAAGGAGTTCAATTGAAATTGATTGCGACGTTGCCTATACTTTCTCATCATATTTGTGCGGGCAATTACATCGAATTATTAATCGTCAAACTGCGACACTGAGAATTCTGCTATCTCGAGCATGACCCCATAACGGAACTTTATGATCGCAAATATCGGGATAGTAATAACTCTTCCGGGGAGACTTTCGTGCGAGGGCCTGATAAAGCACGGATCTATGGCGTGCAGAGTAAAGTGCTTAAATCCTGAGAAAAAATGCTGATGCGGTGGCTTCTTGAACGTGTCATATGGCGGCGGAGATTGTGTGCCGAGCGAGGTACAAGAGAAAGTAGGTGGTTCCATCCAATCGATAACGAAGTTCCTTCTTCGCAAGAGTGTCTTTTGTGTTCGTAAAATCGATTTCTCAAACTGAAAGGAGCCGTGCAACTGTGCCGCATCTTCCTGCCATTTTCTACGCAAATACACGCATCACTGCTCTTATTTAATGTTCCCTGTCGAAACAGGAGTAAGCTAAGCCATGAAGCTCAGGGAATAATTTATGTATCATTTAACATCGTAAATCCCTTAAATCTTAAACATACGGTACTTCAGATATATGAATATGCAAAGCGATAACTGATGATAAAATTAGCAGAATCTGCAGAATACATATATCGAAATATCTTCTTAAAACTTGTGCTATGTTAAAATATATCATTAATGATTTGAAGATCTCCAAAATCATTTAATTTATAAAAACACTGGACAAAATTTATTATTTCACACAAAAATTTCTTTCACGCACCGATCCGCCAACCTTTCGTTAAAGTTTACTTGAGAGAAGCGCGTCTCATCTGCACCTGAAAATTTTCGCTAAACTTCCGATAAACGTTTGAATCTCGGCGTTGCGAGGTTAATCCCAGATTTCGAGGCTTTCATCCCTCTCTTCGAGATGAATAATCCGCCTGAAGCAGTCTTTAAGGATCGTACACAGGTGGATTTAACAGGCTCCGCTTCAAGGCCAATGGGGGCAGCTCCGACTAATTGCACCCTCGGGATCATCCTGCATGAATTTCTGTACTCCAACAACCGAGTGAAGAGCACCACCAACATCTTATCTAATAGGAGACTGACCGTTTCTGACGCTCGTTAAAGTGCGAAACATGGCATAACGATTACAAGGGCTGCGCGGATTCTTCATGGGTATCCTCAGGGTGTGCTGCAGGCGCATATAGACTGCGCAGGCCTAAAATATGTGCTGCTTCTAATTCAACTGTTTACATGCATAATTCTCGACGAAGGTTCTGCAATAATTCACGTAGAGATTATATACTTAGATACTACGAGCAATTCTTAAAGCCTTTCAATTTCGAAAGTTTTGAAAGTTCTAAATATAACGCCTGGGAAATCTGGTTTTATGACTCGTATCGGTCCTGATTGAAAAATTAAAAAAATTATCGTCAATTTTTGTATATAAAAAATTATGAAATTGGCACGTGATATCTTCAGATTCCTATTTTATCCATTTATTTAATCGCTAGAATGTTATTATATAAAGATTTAAAAAAATAGAATTCTATCTTCACATGGCGAAATGGTCACGATAGTGTGCAGTATATAATGCGGTTAAGTGCGACAAAAAGGCGCATTGTAACTCGTTGATAGCCCGCGCCGGTGGAAATCGATCATTTATTTTTTACGTAACGGCCGACGAGCGAGCGGTGGCGTGTAACCTTCGACGGTGCACAGGCCTATCGACGTGCGGAATTGAAGTACGTGGTGAGGACGTGGAGGTTACTGACATGGCCCTGCTTTGTTCGTAATGAGCACCGTAATTTATCCATAATTTATTCCGTTGTTAGATTCTCTTTGACAGCCGTAACGTACCACACCGTTTGCTTGCCGAGTATAACAGCCCAGGTCCTGCGACGTTGCACGACCGGTACCGTCTTGTTAAACCGGCCGCGGAATAGTTGTCGGGGTCTGATAACAGTAAAGTGCGGGTGCCCAATACTTTACGAGAAATTATGCGGTTGAAGAATGTTGATAAATGCATAGAAAGTTTTCGGTCGAAGTGTGTGAAGTTCACGCTTTTTCAGCGTACGGCGTACGTATTACCACAAACGATCTGAGATTAATCAACCGGGATCTCATCGCCGCGTACGAATCCCGCGAATGCGATACGCATCCGACTGGCAATTAGAAATGATAAATACGACGGATTTATTATCGCGCAGCTGTGAATCGATACTTTCATGCGATTACGCGACTAATTAATCAAATAAATTTAGAATAACAACGTCTAAGTATTGTTGAAATAATTTCTATTTTAATAATGTTAGCGAAAAAAGAGAATCATTTAAAATAATATGAGAGAGAGAGAGAGAGACGTGTTATTATTAAAAGTGAAAAATATTAAGAAATGCGAATGAAATGTATTGTACAAAGCGAAGCCAATTAATTTAATCAGAGGAATAAATTCGATTTTATCAACACGAGAAGAGATTTAAACTCTCGAGCAAACTATCGAGAAACCATTTTTCAGGCAAGGCAACGCCTTGACCCGTGCAAAATCGCAATGTATTGTGCACAATAAGAGAGAGTGCGCGCTTGAAAATGCACCGCGTTCGTATCTAGTCAACGCTTCCTTCGTGCACAACTACTCTTACGTACTCTTACGTATATATATACTGTTCGAGAGAATGCTCTCCCCCTCCTCCCCCCCCTCCCCGTCTATTTATTCCGAGCCGACTGCAACTTCGTCGGGCCACTACGGCTCGCATTCCAATTACAAAAATTATCAGCAGACGCACGCGAGATAGTGACTCTTCCCCATTGTGCCTCGTGAATAATTTTCGGGCTTTCCAAGCACTGGCGACGTGCCAGCAAATTTTTAATCTTCTCCTGTGTCGGCGATCGATTGCGGATAGTCCAAATAGAACGATGCATCGCAACGCTTCGCCGAAAGAAGTACAAAATATTTGCGAAACAGAACCAGCAGGTCGCGCGTTGTTTCATTGTACACTCGTGGACAATGAGGTTGCGCCTCTTTTTTTTCAGTGAGTCTACGCGTTCGTAAACTCACAAACATGTTATATATAATTAATGTGCTAATGTACTAAATGATTGATACCAACATCAAATTATATCATATATTATTTGAGAAACGTTATCAGAAATTCAGAATGTTAACAACCACGTGTTTGTAAACTCACTGAAAAAAAAGTGTCGCAATCTCATTGTTCACGAGTGTACACGATCTCGCACGAATTAACAATGAAAAATATAGTAAAAGTATGCGAGAGAACACAGAATATATATGACCATGCTGTTCTCTAATTAATTATTACCGAGGGCCGGAGTCAATTTTTTGCAGGAAAGCATCTCGAAATGAGTATTTTTCGAGAAAATAAATCGCGAACGTGGGAAAACTCGTATCGACGATGATATAGCGCGGAAGAAACTGTTTGTGACACTTGCGCCAATTCACTTCTACTGAAGCGCGAAATGACGTCCCGCCATTTCTGTTAACACAACGACGAAATATCGGAACGAGACGTGACCTACATTTGAAACTTGATTTTCCGGTTCAAAATTAAAATAGCATGCCGCGACCTAAGGACTTTTATGTCCATCGAACGTACACAGTACACAGCTGTGTGTCGATAAATAAATCGATTAAATAAAAACAGAACGTAACGTTTCAATAAAGATCAATATTGCAGCTTTATACAACTCTTTGTCCACGTCTTTTTAAACGAATTTGCGCGCAACAGCAACATATAAGACTATACTTGCCATACAATTGCTTACCACTAACAAGCTACGCTTGTACTAACCCAGATTTTAGACATAAATTCGTGGACTGTAATTGTAAGCAGTAACTGTGCCGGCCAGTTATACCAAGTATCGTTGGCCGGGTATGTTGCCGTTGCGAACGGCAGCCCGTCGTCGACACACATGGATTCACTGTCGGATGCAGACGTCCTCCATCACCCTGAAATCACGTCACGGGCCGGATCATTATCTCCGCATGGCGCGCCGCGGGATTGTTTCGATTATCGGAAAACGTAATATTGGGCGCGCGCTGGCGGAGCAAAACTGTTTAATCCACCATCTGGTCGTAGTGGCTAATGAAACGGTAAAGGCTCGTCGGAGTAAAAATGAGGCTTTTAAAAATTGTGCAGGCTGGGAGAAAGAGCTTCCGATTGAAGCAATTTTATTTAGTTACGTTATAATTGAGTGCACAGGATAACTACATTATAGGAAGTGGACGTGCTTCCTAGATCGCTTACTAAAAATAACTAAAAATAAACGAAATGTATCACGCGAATATGAATGAACGTTTCGCTTGACGCTTTCGAGTGGCTTAAACACACGGATTATTTCATCGTCACGGTAATAGCACGGTCTCCGCACTGTATAAGCGCTAATTTTAGAGGACTGGAGCCGGTAAGAACGATGCCAATATCCACTTTATGATGATTTGATTACGCAAACGCATTGCATTTCGTGACTGCCGCCGCTTACGAGTGAAAACGTACTAATCGACGCCTCGAACGAACTGTATGTCGGGGCAAGGTGAAAAACATGAAATATCTTCATTCGCGACGTTTAACGCGAAAATGATGACTTTCTAACAGCACCTGTCTCCCCACACTGACTCGCTACACAGTGCTGTTCCTAGACAAATGACTAGTTATGAGACAGTAATCGCGAGTTTATGATTTGATCACGCGAGCGTCCAAATACCCGGGAGAATGTCCAGACGAATCGAACAGTCTATTTATATACCATTTACCATTTTATGCTCCAAGAACAAGATTTTGTACAGGAGTAGACGAAAGAAACGCATAATATCTTCATTTGCGGTGATCGACCAGGCGACGTGTTCGGTCCGAAAGACACCGTTGCTGCAGAAAAAGACGCAGAAAGGTGACGCAGGTGTGTACAGACACGTGTGTACTTTGCGACACGTCTCGAAAACGCCGTCGCGAGAAGCTTCATTTCTCGGCACAAGCCGAGTCTCTTTTCAAAGCAACCTAAACAGAGCCAGCCAATCTCGAGAACCAGTCAGGGGGCTTTGCACTAAAAACCAGTTCAGGAGCTCGCGAAAAAAAGGCCGCACTTCTCTAGCAGCTTGCAAGTCGCGTTAGAGCTGGAGTTCCTATTCAAAACGAGATGCCGAGTCGTGGAATGACGTGAAAGCGAAAAATATTCGTTTCTTCAAACGGTATGAAAGTAACCTTTATGTTGAGGAATGAATGACAATCTCAAGCGTAATATTTTCTTTATAGCGCTATATAAGTATAATTTAACATTTCTAGCGCAGAAACTGCTCTCTCGACGTAGAACCTGAGTGACAAACGTTTTTTCAATGAAATTTTTTGTAGAAATTTTCGTGTGCAATCATTTGCATGACTGATAACAAGAGATGAAGAGACGATAAAAAGCGAACGCAAACGTTCGACAAAAGTAGGCCAATTAAATTCATCTAGCAAGGACGATGTAAAACCTCATTCCCGAAGAAGCTTTGCGCATATAAATATCCTGTCTATATTCTTTTGCCGCGATCCGCCGTGAACGACGTTTTCCTCGCCTAACGTAGCGCGACGCTGCTTTTAAAGAGCATCTATATTTCCTTAACTGCCATCTCTCTTCGGCATTGTCCTCGAACCGTGGCACGAATTTCCATCTTGAGATTTCTGTCGAGTCCATTCGACATGCAATCTAATGAAGTATACACATACATTTTAGCTTTCTTGAATAAATAGACCTTTACAGATTCAATTTAGTGTAGTATATATATTCTTATTTAAGTTCTGTTTGCATTCTAACTAGTTCACGTTCTATTCTACGATCTATTTTTTTTATTCACGATATTTTTGTTTTATATAATTCATTTCGTTTGTGCTCTGATTATCTGTTTTTACAGATAGGCACTGCAGCAATTTTGCTGATATTCTATCCTTTGCGTGTACATCTTTTATTCATGCTTTTTTGTAATTATCTGACCTACTCACAAATTAATCTTGTATATATACATATTACACTCAATAAAATTATCATTATTGTTATAAGGTACAAATTGTTGCGAGTATTTTTCTTTATGGAATTACTCTCAGCGCTTCTTAATTAGTATTAAAAAAATAATATGCAGGCAAGACAAATCAGAAAACATTAAACATTATTTCTCAATTGTTTAGAAAAATTAAAAAACCGTTATTACTGTCTCTGAAAATAATTCTGTATAGAATAATATAATAATCGGATTTCGCGTAGACGAACCAACAAAGAATGTTTCGAGAGAAAACAATGTTTTCTGCAACATTTTCCAACGACGATCCATTCTCTTGTCGATGATTTCAAAATCCATGGACACCTGTTATTAAGGAAACTCTCAAACGGCAATCCCAACGCGATGACTCAAGCGTGACCACATGAGGGAACGTATCATTCACTTGGATGCATCGATGATCTCGCTCTCGTACGTGGCGTAAGAATATCATTGTCATTACAAACCGCGACCGTAGCGGTTATTTATAAAACCGTGCCGACATCCTATTATTACGTCTCGGATCAATAGTAATCGATAAATTACAATGGTCGCATGGGGATTTTAATCTTTAATCCGGAGACATCCGAATCGGGAATATGCCATCGGTGACCTGGCGAATCTCTCGATTTGCTATTAATATATGATCGATATATAGAAATCTGCATCGAATCGAATGCAAATAAAAGATATATGAAACCCTTCGGCTAAAACTCAAGAGTTCCGCGTAATCAAATCGAGCACGCGATAAGCGATATCCAGAGCAATCTCCATTATCTTCAATTCCGCAAGTATGCGACTAACGCGATAGCGTGTTAACATATGCATTCACTCATGTGTAATTGAAATTTCTTACGTAATACATTATTCTTGCGTTTTTGTATTAGTATTGAATCGGGGTGGGGGAACAACTTTATATTTTAGCACACGTTTAATATAATCATCGACCGTTACGAAGTAACTTCATTGCATTTTGTAGTAGTTATAAAGTGGGCCGGGACAAAATGTAATGAACGCTATACCCAAGACAACAACATTAATTATAAAACTATAATGAAATTCCGCCGCATCTCGTCCCACTTCTAAACTGGTATGGCCAAAAATTTAATTAATGAGATCGTATCCGGAAAACTATGAATTAATTCGCATCCTTGTGATTGTCACAATAACGCTTGCCGTTAATGAAACGCGCGTCGTTCAAATCACGTTCGACGACCGTCAGGAAGCCGCGCCACGTAATCGTTCATTGATATTATACCTATACATGGCTGCCGTTGTTATTTATGTAT